ATGATGCTGCTTGGCCTGCTGTGTTCATCCAGACATTGTGTTCTAAATTGATTTGGCTTCTGTACCATATATCCTATCTTTACCAGTTGAGATTACCGGCACAGTGCACACCCCGGGGTGTAAGTTCTTTGCCAGTTCGGGGATTGTTTTGATAACTCTAGCGTTACGGACATACTTTGGAGGTTCCAGTTTGGGATTCATATTAGGCTCATCTCTTCCCTTCCCGGCTGGCCGCTCTTCAGCTTCGCGTTCTGTCAGCAATTCCAGGGTCAATTCCAGTTTTCCCTAAACACACCAAATAAGGAATGAAACATGTAAATGAGACATTGGCTGGTGGCAACAACGGCCTTGAGTGTCATCACAGACTGTAATAGTTTAATGTACTGGGCAGCGCAAGAATCTGAACAAGGTGTGGAGGGTGTGGGAAAGGGAAGAGGAAGGGCTGAGGGTGTTTGGAGGGTGGTGAGAGACAGAGACAAAGAGAGACGGCTGAGGGAGAGAGAGAGGAGATGATGGGACACAGAGAGAAAGGGCAGCATGAAAAATAGTCAAATGGGGATGGGTTCTGAAGAATGAGAGAGAGAGAGAGACTGATGGACAGGGAAAGGAAGGAGGATAGAGAGAGGGACAGATACACAGAGACAGAAAGATGGATAAAAAAGCAGAGAGACCAGCAGGAGAGAAAGAGAGAGAGGAAGAACATGATGGAGAAAGAGAAAGAATGAGATGGAGAAAGAGAGAGAGAGAAAAAGAGCAGGGGTAAGAGATAGAGGGAGGCAAAGACAAAGAAATAGAGGCAGTGGCAGAGACAGGCAGAGGGAGGGGGAGAGAGAGAGAGACTGAGATGCCATTGTGAATGCTGTAACCTACATATAAGAAAGACAAGTTTGCACATTATACACAGCTTTTCAGTATCAACAGGAAGGGACCGAATGTAATGTTAGCTTCTCTCCACAAGATTCCTTATCCTGTCATGTCCACCATGGTCAAGACATGGCTCATTCTGACCACATTGTGTCTGGACCATAAAAATCATTCTGTCAGGAAGTCACAGTGTTAAATCCTCACCTCCTGCATTCTCTTTCACTTCCTCCTACTGCCTTGTGAAGAGGGTGAACAGGAGAGAACTGAGCTCCATGGGGATCAGTCCGTAGAAGATATTCCAAGACTTTACTCAACTCTTCCCCGGAGAGCAGTGGCAGCTGGGTTACTAAAGGCTGAGCTGGACAGACCGTGATTAGTACGTGAATCAGGCAGGCAAGTGGAGTTTCGGCAACATCAGATCAGCCCTTATGAGGCTCGAGGGGCTGAATGGCCTACTTCTACCGCAAACAAGCTTCAGTAATCCTTAACTCCTAGACTTTGACTTTGCTTCAGAAATGCTCTCTGCAGGGATGCAAGGCTTCATGTCATCTCGTCTAACAGTGCACCTGAATGATACTTGGGCACGATGTATTATGTGGGGAAAGGTTGCCTGCTTTAAACTTGTTTTTGCTGGAGTACATAAGATTAAGGGGTGGTGAAGTTGGGGAGTTTAAGATGATTGAAGGAATTGATAGGGTCGATTAAGGGATGTGGAAACAGGTTCGGAAGTGTGGAGGAGTCGGAAAAGAGTCAGGGAAAAGGCAGAAGAGGGAATGTTCAGAAATCTAGATACATCTCGGAACACAGGAACATTTTATCATGATAGACGCAGGAATGCTCAGCGAAAGAATATTTGCTCTTACTGTCAAATAAGGTTTGCCTTCTTCGTATGTGACGCACGGCCACCAGCCTTTAATACTCTTCTGCTTGAAGAGTGAAATCATCTTCTGCAAGCTGTTAGACGAGGAGTCCTCCTGCTTAAAGAACTTCTCCAGTGTGCAGCTGTCTGCCCACTTCGTTGGGCACCGGAAAGCATTCAGATTAATCTCGAGGTAGCCTGCCGAGGAGAGAGAGGGAAACCCGAGGGTCAGCACAGAGTTGGGCACTCAGGGAGCAATCAATCAGGGAGTCCTAGAGGAGAGTCAGAGTCTGAGATAGTTCACCGCAACTTGTTAACGTCAGTAAACAGTGCAGTCCTAGGGTGTGCCGGGGAATGGAATGACAGCAAGGATCAGTGCTGTGAATAATAAGATTGGTGCCCGGGGCTGGGGGAGAGCGTGAATTTAAGCCACGATTCCCAGTCTCTAATCATCACGCTCTGTTGAGGCAGAGAATGAGAGTGAGCATGATGCCTACCACAGTGGGCACAACCAGCTGGCGGAATACCCACTCAAGTGGCACACACTATCACACATGCCTGTTCAATTCTGTGCCTGATTGAAGGTCACTGTGTGAGTAAAGTGGGCAAAAGAAGGGATGCCTCTTCTCACCTGCTCACAAGACAAATGTGTTAATGTAACAGTGAGTGACAGACACAGACACACATTCAGATGGCATGTGTATACATGCATACACACAGACTCACACGCGTACACTCTCTCCCTCTCTCTCTCTCTCTGGGGTCTTTGGTTCCCAATGTGGCAATGGGATGCAAGTGGGGGTGAAGGTGAGGTTGGCTGCTCTGTGTTTAATTCTCAACTCCAGGTTGTGTGCCAGCAAACAATTAGAATCAGTCTCAGCGATATCACCAAGTCACCACAAACCCTCTCTGAACACAATGCTCCTCTGCCCTCACCTGCCACCAGCTGGTTACTGCAACAGGACAAATCATACTCTGAATAACTAACGAGTCTGGAATAAAACACACAGATCGCCCAAACTGTAGATTTTCTTTTACCCAAGCAACAATCACTGACCCTCTCCCTCTGGGCTCTCACCACCAGCAAGCTCCTTTATACATACTGTTCTTTCTTAAACTGAGGGCACAATCACTTCAAATTTATCAGGTTAAACTCCGTTCTAAGTATCCTGCTGGTCTCCACTAATGTACAAGTGCTATGTAATCTGCAACATAAGGGCTTAAAAGATATGATCTAACTCAACTCTACTGATTTGCACCATCCCTCGCTCTCCTTACTATCCAAAATTTATCAAGTTGTCTTGAATGACACAGCCTCCAATGCCATCTGAAGCAGAGAATTCGAAAGATTCACTACCTTCAGAGTGAAGAAATTCCTCCTCTCTTCAGTCCCGAATAGGTGACCTCTTATTCTAAGATGCCTAAGTGTATTATGATTTTCTAAGTGTCTCATTAGCATGTCCCTAAGAAGAGATTTTCCCTCTTGCTAATTTTAGCCTAACTGTCCTATAGTTATAGTTCTCTGTCTTGCTCCTTTCTTGAAATAAATCCATTGGATACATTCTTGCATTCAGGGCTTCTTAAAAATTTCTTTCATTGCATGTGGGTGTTGCCGGTGAGGCCAGAGATTTTTGTCTGTCTCTAATAGCCCTTGAACTGAGAGGCTCGCTCAGGCACTTCAAAGGGCAGTTAAGAGTCAACCACATCGCTCTGGATGTGGACTCACATGTCGGTGAGGCCAGATAAGGAGAGCAGATTTCCTTCCCTTGAGGACATCAGTGAGCCAAATGACGTTTTACGATCATCAAAGATTGTTTCGCCATTACTGAGGCTACCTTTAAATTTAAGACTGTATTAACAGATTGGGATTAATTTCCACCAGGTAGCAACAGCAGTTTCTGGAAGTGGAAGCCGTTCAGCAACACACTGATTGACGTACACAGAGCTTCCTAAAGGATGCATAGCCAAGCAACTTCAAAAGAGAGTTCCCAGCTACTAGGATTTGAACCCATGTCCGCAGAACATTAGCTTGGGATTCCAGATTACTCGTCCCCCGGGATATTATTGGATATTGCCAGAAATTCTGGAAGATCAAACAGCAGAGCTGTTAAAGATTACCTAAGTAGTCATCAAAGGACACTTTATCATTGTCCCACAGTTGGAGAATTAGTTTAGGAGGCATTTTCATTTCCGTCTCATCCAAGCTCCAAATATAGTTCTGAAAGAAGCAGAAACAGTCTCTCACAATTGCTCCTTGCTGAATTACTTAGAAAACAGAGGCCGCATGCAGTAACCTTTTACGACTAATATAAAAGCAAACTACTGTGGTTGCTGGAAATCTGAAACAAACATCGAGCGTGCTGGAGAAACTCAGCAGGTCTGGCAGCATCTGTGGACAAAGGGAAACAGAGTGAACGTTTCGAGTCTGGTATGACTCCTCTCTGGTTTTATGACTGGGCAGATTTGCACAGATCAAATTCCCAGCCAGCGCTTTGACAGGGTCGGCGATGAAATAAAATCAACAAGCAGTAACGCCAGGCACTTTACATCAAACATGTTTATTGATACATGTTTGTGCTCTCTGCCTGTACTGTGAGAATCTGAATCTATAATCAGCATATTGCTTCAAATCAATATCCCTATAAATCAACCACAGTGATAAACATGGCACAGTGGGGCAGTATGGTAGCTCAGTGGCTCAGTGGCTAGCACTGGTGCCTCACAGCACCAAGGTCCCAGGTTCAATTCCACCCTCAGGTGACTGTCTGTGTGGAGTTTGCATGTTCTCCCCTGTGTCTGTGTGGGCTTCCTCCCGCAGGCTAGGTGGATTGGCCAAGGGAAATTTGGGATTACAGGGATGGAGGTCTGGTGGGATGCTGGACTCGAAAGGCCAAATGGCTTACTTCCACACTCTAGGGATTCTATGATTCTCTGAAGTGATGGTAAGTGCCCAAGTGTTAGTTAGGGATAAAATCTGTATTGATAACTAAGATGAGGAGACCTATTGCATTGAATTTACATTTACTGGCAATAGAAGCTTCAATGGGAAATGGAAGGATGCAAGGAGACTGAACAAGTTCAAAAGAGTGGGCAAAAAATGGAAGGTGAAAAATAATGTGGAATTATATATTTTTAATAAAGTCATGGAATGTGGTTATCGCTGGCTGGTCCAGCAGTTATTTCCCATCCATAACTGCCCCTTGAGAAGGTGACGGTAAGCTGTCTTCCTGAACCACTGCAGTCCGTGTGGTGTAGGGACACCCACACAGTGCCCTCAGGGAGGGAGTTCCAGGATTCTGACCCAGTGACACTGAAGAAATGGTGATATATTTCCAAGTCAGGATGGTGAGTGACTTGGAGATGAACCTGCAAGTGGGGATGGTGCTCCCAGGTATCCGCTGCCCTTATCCTTCCAAATGGTAATATTTGTGGATTTGGAAGGTGCTTTCGTAGGAACCTGGGTGATTTGCTACAATACATCTTGAAGATGATACACACTGCTACCACTCAGTGCTGGTGATGGAGGTAGTGAATGTTTGTCAATCTGGTGCCAAACAAGAGGGCTGTCTTGTACTGGATGGTGCCAAGCCTCTTGAATGTTGTTGGGGCTGCACCCATCCAGGGCAAGTGGGGAGTATTCGATCACACTCCTGACTTGTGACTTATGGATAGTGGACAGGCTTTGGGGAGCCAGGAGGGGAGCCACAATACTTATACGACTGCTCCAGTTCAGTTTCTGATCAATGATAATCCCCAGGATGTTGATTTTGTTTTTGAAATCACGAGAATAGAAAGGTCTTACTGCAATTGTATGAGAGTGAAAAGAGTTTAACTCATTGGGATTCCATTTAATGGTGTGAATAGGAAGGGGATTAATCCATTGATTCTTTCTGATTGTACACAATAGGGGTGGAAGGTTTGATCCATAGGGATTGTATACAAGAGTGGGGATTGATTCATGAAGATTATATACAATGGGAATGAAAAGATGGGATTTAATCCATTAAGATTGTGTACAATGAAGGGATGGGGTGTGATCCATGGGGATTGTATACAATAGGAGTGAAGGGATAGGGTCTGATCTGAGGGAATAATATACAATGGAAGTGAAGGGATTGGGGTTGATCCATGGAGATTGTATACAATGGGAGTGAAGGGATAGGGTTTGATCCATGGGGATTGCATACAATGGGAGTGACAGGATAGTGTTTGATGCATTGGGATTGCATACAATGGGAGTGACAGGATACTGTTTGATGCATTGGGATTGTATACAATGGGAGTGACAGGATAGGGT